TGGAAAACATAATTGAGCCTCAGAAATGTTAAGAAACTCATTTAAAGACAAAATATGGATGGTAGGATGGTGATTACTATTGAAGTTGGGTGATGAGCACATGGAATTCATTATGCTTTTCTATAATATGTGCTTTGTATATATTCGAAATTTTCCATAATAAAAGGCTTTTTAAAATTCTGTGGTCAAATGATTAGAGATTCTCTAAGTTAATTCAGATTCTTTAGAAATTTTAGTTATGTAAAGGCCTGGCAAGGAATTCAACCTCTAACCAGACTACTGGAGCATTGGGGGAAAAATACCAATTTTTAGAAGCATGTTGTTTATTTTCATGTTCTTACAAAAGTATTCTTATTTAAAACATTTTGAAAATATTCCTCAAAAATGCATACAAACAAAAAAAAAAATCACAAAATTCCATTCATGGCTCAATGACCATTGTTTTTACCATTCTGATATACCTATTTCTGCGCTATGTCCTACCATAGCTTTTGCCTTGTTTAACGTAGTTGAGATCACCCAATGCATACAATTTTCTACTTTATTTTTCTTTTCATGTATCACTTTAACAACACTTTACAATGTTATTAAAATTTTTCCAAGAACATGACTGTACAGTATTCCATTATGTTGCCATACTTTACTGCCTTATTGTGGCCATTTAGATCGTTTACAGTTTAAAAAAAAATGATTGCTTTTTGGGAATCCACTTTATAAATAATTCAGATTTGTTATATACAGTCTATAAATTTGTCATTTATATATCTTTTCAGTTTCTTATTTATGCTCCAAAAATAATGTAGGGCACAGCTTTCGTAGAGAAAATCTTTTATGCTGGATTGTTAAGGCTATCAGTGGGGTGTAGAATTTCAATATAGCTCTGATTTTATTGACTGTGGGCTGTAACTCTTTGGAAAGTATTTTATTACATTCAAATATTTTGATACCCAGCAGTGATAAGTAAATTTCTCTTCTAAATTTGATGTGGTTTTTCTCACTCCAGAAGCGCTTTATTTAAACAAAAAACAGAAACCTGGTTTAACAGGATCTGCAGCAAATTGGCATACTAAAACCAATACCTCTTCATGATCTGTTTGCCAATAGTAGTGGAACCAGTGAAACCAAGTTTGCGGATGTCAGGATGTTCAGAAAGGCGTTGTCCTGCTATGCCACCTGTAGAATTAGGGAATAAAACACGAATTAAAACACTGCTCAAGTTGTATGGAGGACGGCTTTGAATTCACTGAAGTAGATTTCCAAGCTCTCATTGAAACCTTAGTTTTACATTTTCTGAATTAATTGAGAACTGACAAAAATCTAAAATAATACCCTTTGTGCAATTGTCAGATCCCCAACGTAAATGATGGGTGAGCCTTGGTTTTTATCTTCCAAAGTAGTTTTTGAAAATCAGAATGGACTAACTTAGGGTAGTTTTACAATGTACAATCCCCCTGCCCCTGCCACTCACCCACCACTGTATTTCCACTTTAAGATTTTAGCACATAAGTGTATTCATCCTCAACTATCTGGTAGACTGTATTTAGTTTGAATATAGTTATAATTCAGGACAAGTCTCCAGTGGGGAAAACAGCCACTTAGCTACCCCTGTGCCATTCATTAGTTATAGCAAAGTGGGTCATTTGATGGCTTACCTGAGCCCGGAATGATGTTGATTACACCCTTTGGAAATCCTGCTTTCACAGAGAGCTCCGCAAACTTCAAAGCAGTCAAGGGCGTGACCTGAACAGAAGCAGACAGCAACTACCTTCTTCAGACTGTGCCTTGTCCTTCAGACCAGTACCCAGTTTTCCCTTGATGTCTGTACTAGAGCTCACATTATTTTAATTTTACATTGTTTAATTTTTTCGAACATAATTTCAGACTTACAGCAAAGTTGCAAAAATAGTACAAGGAATTCTTTATATACCCTTCACCCAGATTCCTCATATGTTAACATTTCACTACATTTGCTTTATCTTTCTATATATTTATTTTTTTCTGAACTCTTTAAGGGTAAGATATAGAAATCCCCATTACCCCTGCAGACTTGTGTGTAAATTCTTTTACATAACGATAGCACAGTTATCAAAATCAGGAAATTAACAACTGATAGAATACCTAATTTACAGACCTTATTCAAATTTCCCCAACTATCCCAATAATCTCTTTTATAGCAAAAGAAAATCCAAAGTCATTCATTACATTTAGTTATATCTGTAGTTTCCATTAATCTGGGAGAGCCTGAGTTTTCTTTTATATTTCATCACCCTGACATATTTGAACAGTACAGGCCAGTTATTTTGTACAATGTCTCTTTGTCTGAGTTTGTCTGATATTTCCTCATAATTGGATTCAGGTTATATACTTTTGGCAACAATACTACCGATTGATGCTGAGTTTTCGGTATTTCCTGCCAGAAGGCACATACTGTGGAATAGTCCCAACTCTGGAAATGTTAGCTTTGATCATTAATCAGTGTGGTCTGTCCACTTTCATCTCTGTAAGTTACTATTTTATACACTGTAATTAATAAATATTTTATAGGGAGATACTCCTCGAACTTTCATCCACTAATTTTAGTATCCATTGATACTTCCTCCCTGAATCAATTATTATTATGGTGGTTGCTAATGGGGATTTTTCTGATTCTATCATTCCTTCTACATGTATTAGTTGGCTCTCCAGTGTAACAGTTTTCCCTTTTCTTTAGTTAATTAATTAATATCAGTGTGAACTCATCGATTCTTTCTTTATTCAGCAGGATATAATCTTTTACTACTGTTACTGGTTTTGATGTTCAAATCGTTCCAGGTTTGGCTGGTGGGAGCCCCTTCAGTATGGCTCCTGGGTTGTTCTGACATGTCCCTACTCGGAGCATTTCTTTGCTTTTTGGCCCAACATGATGTTCCAGGCTCATCTTGTATTTCCCTTGCTCCAGCCACTTCTCTAAGGAGCCCAGGTTTCTTTTAGTGGAGGATGGTATTTAGAAACCAAGACATCTGGACATGACTTGCGGGGGGCGGGGGGGGTCACTGCTTCTAGGCCCTCTAAGCAGATAGAGCTGGGAAACATTAATAGATAAATGTATATACATTCACAAGCATGTTATGTATGTATGTACGTATCTATCTCCACATATACCTGTATCCATGTCTTATTTAGCTATCTAAAGACATTCAAAACCCACAAGTTTACACCACTACCTCTATCCAATATCTCAGGGTAGATTCCATTTTTCCCTCTTTCTATGTTTGTAATTCTTTTCCCCAAGTAAGAGACATGGCGCCCATTATCCACAATATATTTACTTATCTGCTTAATCCTGAAAGGTAGAAAAAATCCTTTGAGAATTGTTAAGCCATGTCCCTAATGAAAAAGAAGCCCACTTAACTATCATTCAACATTTATTTGGAGGTTTTTCACCTTTAGCCTGAGGGCATATAGTCCAAATGTTAGTGAAAACTTGCTTGGGTTTGTGCTTCCTCACCCCTTCAGTGAGGTTATGTTATTCATTTGAAATATGGCTTAATTTGGTTTTGATTGTATTCGATTTTAGGGGTTTTGCCCCATCTGTCTTGATTATATTTTTTTCTTTGGTTTTTGTCATTGAGTATAGGAAATACGCTTCCAAAAGTCATGACTGTATGAAAGGTCCATTCAGAGAAGCATCGTTCTCCTGCTCTCCTTCCCACCCCATGCCCTGTAGATAATAACCTCATCACTCTCTGGTTCGCCTTTCCTGTGTTTCCTTCTGTTCAAACGAGCAAATACATATGTTCTTATTTTCTCTTCTTTCTTACTCAAAAAGGTGGCATAATATGGAAATCAGTTTAAATATATAAAGAGCAGGGCAAATCTCAGAAGCAAAATGAAAGTACTATTTTCACCCTCTTAAAAACCAATGATGGCCGGGCGCGGTGGCTCACGCCTGTAATCCTAGCACTCTAGGAGGCCGAGGCGGGCGGATTGTTTGAGCTCAGGAGTTCGAAACCAGCCTGAGCAAGAGCGAGACCCCATCTCTACTAAAAATAGAAAGAAATTAATTGGACAACTAAAAATATATAGAAAAAATTAGCCGGGCATTGTGGTGCATGCCTGTAGTCCCAGCTCCTCGGGAGGCTGAGGCAGGAGGATTGCTTGAGCCCAGGAGTTTGAGGTTGCTGTGAGTGAGGATGACACCACGGCACTCTAGCCGGGGCAACACAGTGAGACTCTGTCTAAAAAAAAAAAAAAAAAAAAACAATGATGATTAAGTCTTAAATTAGTACCTAACCTGGTCTCTAAAAATGGAGTATGCAAAAAGATCCATTGGGGTGTGGAAAGAAAATAGTGGAACTTTCATTTATATATTTTAACTGACAAAAATATGAAATCAATTAGTCATAACTAACATGTATTCCATGGCTGGATAATGGTGCTCTCAGGCAGTCTGAAGGAGGTCAGGTGGTCATGGGTCACTCAGGAATGTGCAGTGTCCTAGGAAAGAGCAGGAGCTCACAAGGCCTGGGGGGTTGGCAGTGGTTCCTTCACTTGCTCATTTGCTCTCAGAATATTGCCCTATGTTGGAGTTCATAGGCCTGGTTCCACGGGGTACACAGACTATGTTGTTATTTTAATTAAGCCAATCTTCATAAAACGGACAGGTGGCTGAAATAAGAATGTACATAGAAACTGCACAATAAAGAATAATGCTAACAAGGCAAACGCAAGCAAACAGGGAAAAGGCAGGGCCCCCGCTTTTACTCCTTCTAGTAGCAGGTTGGTGACAGTCACATTGGAAGGCTTATACAACATCAATGGAGACTTAGCCTCAATGAGAAATTGGCCCAAAACATTTGAAAGGATCAAGAAGACTATTGAGGGGGTGGTGGTTGCTTAGGAAAATGTGAAGCCTGATTTGTTTTGTAACATTATTAGATTGGGTTGGTAAAAATAACTTTGTTAAACCCAGTAACGAAGCAAAGAGAAAGTACAGAAAAATAAAATTCACACAAACCCAAAATAACTAACTAAATAAGTAAAATTAAAAAAGAAGAAGACTATTGAAATCATGGATTTACATCGAGTATAGTTAAAGATGATTCTAGCCCAAAGTGTATATTATTATGCCTTGGCATAAAGCCACCATAATTAGAAAGACATTTAAAACTAACTATCCTGAATTAATGATAATTCCTTTTAAGTAAGAATATAAAGAAAAAAAAAACAAAAGAATATAAAGGTTTTTTTTATAGCATTTATAAATAAAATAAATTGTTCTCTTTATCTCATGTCTTTTAATTTCTATTGGTTTTCTGCCATTTGATGATGTCCAGCGTCCCAGCTGGATTATAGGTTTTCATGATATGTGGGAAAGCATCTGGCACCACTCTGGGCAAGAGTAGGTCATTGCTAAATATTAGGTTAATAAAGTTGTCAGAACCTGCCAGACCTGGACCAGGCCACTGCAGGCCATGAGAATCTGTACCTTCTCTTGTATGAAGCCAGGGAGGGGGAATCTTTCACACATCTAACAAAGCAGAAAACCAGGTTAAAGAGAAAAATCATCTAAATTCAATCCTCCTGGCATTCACACAGGGCCCTAATACTGTAAATGATTTCATACCACCATTGCATAATGTTAGTCAATACAATTTTTAAAAAACCTCCATCATAACAATGGCCACTTTGGGTCTTGCATTCTCAGGATTAAAATTATCTTCAAACATGAAGCTATCAGTTTTAAATTGCAGATAGAGCCAGACTGTAAATTCCATGGGGACAAAAACTCTGCATATCTTTGTCACTAATACATGTCTGGGAACTAGTATGCACTCAAGAAATGTTTGTAATTTTTGGACGTTATATATACTCATTGGCATTCTTCAATGATTAGCACTCTCATTGGATACCATTTAGTGGTTCTCCACCCTGGCTGTGCCTTGGAAACAAATGTGAAGCTTTTAAGCAATACTAATTGCTCCAACCTGAACCAATTAAATCAGAATCTCTGCTAATGGGGCCCAGATATCAGCATTTTCCAAAGAGAACTCAAGGTGATTCTAATGTGCAGCTGGCATTGAGCTCCACTGGGCTAGATTATCTGCCTGCTCTCTTCACTCAACTAGCTTCTTGGTACTTAATGAGAGGTGCTGCTGCAGGGAAATGGCACTCTTGTACAATGCTGGCGAAGTGGTACGACTCCCATGGAAGGATTTGTCAATCTCTATCACACAACTACATGCATCTTTAAAGTAAGTGATTCTGCTGTTAGAAACATATCCTCTAAATATTCTTGCATGGTATTTATGCAATATCATGATGTGATGCATGATACCATATTTATAAGGTTATTAACTGCAGCATAGCAAAAGGAGGGAAAATCTAAATATCCACAATTAGAGACTGGTTAAATAAAATATGTTTTATCTGTACAACGGTTAAAGAAAAAAGAGGAAGAACTTTTTTGGTAAGTATATAGAATGCAACTTTTTGTGTATGTTTTTTAAAATTTTATTTTATTGTGGTAAGAACATTTAACATGATATCTAATGTTGTAAATGTTTAAATGTACAATATAGTTTTGTTAATTACAGGCACAATGTACAGCAGACCTCTAGAACTTATTCATTTTGCATAATTAGAGCTTCATGCTTGTTGATTATATCTATATATGTGTGTGTGTGTGTATATAATTTTGTATATGCAGAGACTATCTCTGGAATACCTAAGAAACTAATAGATAACAATTAGTAACATTAGTTGCCTCTGGGTAAACTGGTTGACTGTGGAATAAGGAGAGGAGGGGGACTTTTCACTATCTACCTCTGTTTCTTTTGAATTTTGAAAATTGTGCATGTATACCTATTTTTAGAAATAAAAGTATTTTTAATAATTAAAACAAGATGGCTATGGCAACATAACCACATAGCTATGCCAAATAAAGTTGTATTTCTTAAGTTCTTAAAGAAGTTAAAGAGTTGATAGGTAATGAATTGTCAACTCTTCTAGAATAGAGACCATGCTTTCTCCATGACTTATGCATCTCAGAATGCCTACTACTGTGCACTTTACATAGTAAATGCTCAGCCAGTACTAAATTGGCTACCATATTTTTTCTTGAAAAGCTATTGTAGCATTAAAAGATTTTTTTGAGAACTACCTAATTTTTAAAAGTATTTCCTTATTATCCATATGGGTATGTTTTTACACAGTTGCCACAATTATGCACATTCATTTGCACGCTTCTCCCTCATCTTCCATATCTTTACAATATTTTTGATAATTAAGTTGGAATGCCTGCAGAATGCCTGGAATGCTTTAATTTGATAATTAAGTTGGAATGCCTTTCTTCTGATGTACTGTAATTACCCTAAACAATTCCTTGATTGTTAGGCATTTGGCATTTTGCAAGAATTGAATTGGTGTGTAGACACATTCAGTGGATTTTGTTGATGTACACTATGCTTGTTTCCATTGTCATGGAAGTTTTAAATTATGGAATTTCCATATGATGCATTTGGTAGCTATTAAAAATGAATATTTACTAATATGAAAAGTCCATGATATAGGAAAATATATAATATACAATCCCATTTTTGTTTAAAGACATACTATTTATCAATGTATGTCTCTGTTTTTAAGTACATTATGTAAGAGAGGAGAGGATTCTGCACCCAGCCCCTTGGCACCTTACCTGTGCTGGCTTGAGCACTAAGGTATTGCCTGCTGCCAGACACGCAGCACTCTTCCACGCCAGCATCATCAGTGGGTAGTTCCAGGGAATGATAATGGCACAGACACTGCAGGGGAAGAAATTCGACATCCTTAGTTGTCTCAAACTGACACGAGTCCTGAGTCACTCAGAGGCGCTCTCCTTATCTTACCCAAGAGGTTCCTTCTTGGTGAAGGTCAGATTGCGATTTGGACGGGCCTGGTTGATTGGAATTGTAGAACCCTAAAGAATAAAAGAAGTTGAGACTTATTTTACTAATTTAAATTAATAATTTTTTTATTCTCAGACCTCAAAGTATTAATAAATTTGATCTCAAAGTATCCATTTTCTGTCCTTCTCCTATTTTTCCTTGGCTGTATGAAAAGACAGTGTTTGTTTGTGTATAAGAAATATATCCATACCAAAAAAGGAATAGCTGTTTCCGTCTCAAGAGAACTATGAAACATAGGTGAATAAACATAATTCTAATTTAGTCACCCTCCATTTCCAATTTATTGGCATGGCAAAGAATGTTAATTGCCTGCCCAATATCCACTCTCTGTCCTTTGTAACAAAATCCCTATATCAATATTGAGGACAGCAATATGCCCAGATAAAATACTATGTTTCCTAGTCTCCATGGCAGACAGGGATGGTCAATGGAAGATGTAAGCATAAGGCAGCAGAAGTGGAATGCTCTTTAAAGTAGGCTCACTCAGCTTGGACAAGTGCTCTTTTATTCTTCTGTCCATGTCCATTTCCTCCTTCTTCCTGCTCAGACTATTGCTGAAATGGCTGGCACTGCAGTGGTTGTCTTGAGACCATGAGACAGCCTTGAGGGTAGAGGCTGCATGGTACTAAGGAAGGCCTGGCAGAAAGAGAGAAGGAGTCTTCATCTCACATACTAGTCCTGACTGCCTATCTTTGGACTCCTTGAAAGCAAGAGAAAAATAAACTTCTTACTTGGGTTTTTTGTTAGATGCAGCCAGCTTAATCCCAGATGATTCACAATGGTAGTCCTTACAGAAGCCATTCTTTGCTTTGCCACATAAAATATTATTGCTCTTACTAATACAAGTATACAATTTCTTATCTGAAATGCTTGTAGCCAGGTATATTTTAGAATTCAGAAATTTTTTGGACATTAGAAATATATTAATAGTACATATACCTTTTATTATGTTTTATTATTTCCTACCCCTGCTAGGATTTGGGGCAACCATAATCAAACACATTAATATTTATTCAGTGAAACAAATGAATATTCACTCTAAGTGATATAAATAAAGATTATAAATAGACTTACGTTCATTCAGGTCAAGGTCTGGTACCATATGAATTTGAACCAATCAAATCAATTTTCAGGTTTCAGAGCTATCTGGATTTCATAATTGGGAATAAGGGATGGACCCGAACTATCATTATTAAATATCTATATATGTATGACTTTGAGGCTGAACCCTAATAAAAACTTCATTTTTGTGCAAGAACTACTATGTTGCAGACTTGTCTAATCTTACAGTATATAAATACTTGTTCCTAATCCTCATAACTTGCAAGGTATGTATTATTGTGACCACTTTACAGAAAGTAAGGCTCAGAGAGATAAATTAACTTTAACAACATCACTGGTAAGTGGCAAAGCTGAGACTTGAATCCAGGTCTCTCTGATTCTATGTTAACATTGGTGGCAGCAATGTACCCAGATAAAATATTACATTTTTTTAGCGAATTGAGATGGCCAAGGAAATATATAAACACAAAGTGTTGGGAGTGTGGGAATACTTTTGAAATTCCTTTTACCACTCCCCCTTCCCCACTTCCTCCTTCTTGCTGCTGGGAATGTGGCTGTGATGGCTGGTACTGCAATGGCTGTCATGAGTCTGTGAGCAGCATGCACTCTGCAGTTTGCTGCAGGCCCACCTTTCCCTCTTGCATCATCAGTGCTGAGGCCAAGTGTTTTGCCATTTATCATCCCACATGCACTATTTATTCTCTTATAGTAAAAGGCAAATTAACTCTTCATTGTACCCATGTCTCTATCTAAATTTTTCTTATACTCAGTCTGCTTCAACCATCTACATTAGCTGTCTGCTTCTGTAGGCATTTGAATTTGAAATCCTCCCCGCCGTGATATTAGGCTTCTCCCAAATGTCTAGAAGGCTATTAGATACCTCAGGAGACATTATAGTAAAGGGCAAAGAATATCGTTAGACTTTAGATTCAGAAAACCTTGAATTCAAACTTGGTTCTATGGTTTACTTGCTATGGATTATAGGAAAGGCATTCATTTCCTCAAGCCTCTGTTTCCTTACCTGGAATAAGGAGATAATAGCTATCCATTCACCCACATGGTTGTTATACCATTGCTGTGGTCTGAAAGTGTCCCCCAAAATTCATATGCTGGAAACTTAATCCCCAAGGCAACAGTGGTGGAAGGAGGGGCCTAACAGGAGGCATTTGGGTTGTGAAGACTCCATTCTCATGAATGGATTAATGCTGCTGTAAAAAGGGCTTGCAGGAGTGAGTTCGCTCTCTTCTGCCACGTGAGGACACAACGTTCCTCTTCTCCAGAGGATGCAGCCACAGGGTGCTATCTTGAAACCAGACACCAAACCTGCTGGCACCTTGATCTTGGACTGTGAGAGAATAAATTTCTGTTCTTTATAAATTGCTCTGTCTCAGGTATTCTGTTGAGCAGCACAAAATGAACTAAGACAACCCTGTTATGTAGGCAAAGAAACCTACATAAAAGGTGGATCTGACACAGCGCCTGGTACAAACTAATAACTGTCGGTCCCTTTTCCTTTTGGAACAAATAACATTTGCGCTTACCTGAATTTTGTCGCACCAGCCAGCAAAATATCTGAATGTTTGCACAGACATTCCAATGTGAGTCTTCAGAGCCAAGGTATAGACGGCCCCTGAATCGAGGGCTTCAATGGTTGCCAGTTCTTCTTGGTTCTCTTCCAGTAGGTCTGCAAGTCTGTACAGTGAAAGAAATTCATTCAACAAATACTGATTGAACCCTTATTACATACAATGCACCATTCTAAGGACTGAGAGAATTCAGAGGTGAACACAAATGGACCAGGTCTCTGCCCTTGCGGAGATCTTGGTCCAATAGGGAAGACAGACATTAAACAAATTAATAATTTTTTTCAAGAGTTAGGAAAAGCAGAGGATATTGGAAGCTTGTAAAACTTGCCTCAAATGTATATAGGAAGTAAAACAGCAACTGAACCACAGTAATCCAAGGAGCTCAATGATAGAAAGCAGTGGATATGTGGATCGTTCATGGACACACAGGGAGATGTTGGAGTGCAACCCACACCTTCCGAGGACCCATGAACACCTGAGGATTCTGGTTGGTACAGAGATATTTCCAACACTGACCGAAGAGGACAAGATAGAAACATATGGAATGAATTGAAAACACCCCAACAGATTTCTGTTTGGTGTTGTGTTGCTATGGGAAGATAAGTACAGGACCGAATAATGACTACAAAATAATAAAAATTCATCTTTTGTGTTCACCTCCTCTAGTTGTTTTCCTTCATTCCTTTAGTGGTTCTCTGAGCTGTTCCTTTTGGGCCATTCTAGGGTTGGGCTTGAGAGCCCCCTCCCCCAGTGTTTCTTCCAGATCTTGCTCTAAGAGATCTTTTGACAAAGGTCAGGTATTTGGTTTTAGGTGAGCAGAAAATGGAATTTATGATTGAATCCAATTACTTCTGGCATACTTAGTTACTGATTATAACACTCTTCCCAGGCCTGAGTATGTTTCCTCCTTGTTCCTATTCTGTAGACACAAAGTAGATCTAAAATTTGTCTTTGAAAACAATAGGATGCTGGACAGTCTCCATTTGCTGCTCTGTGAGCCTGACCCTGGTGGATAACCTTTACGACTATATCACCTGGCTCCCTTGCTAGAGGACACTGGGAGCCACCTGCAGAAGACTGGTGAACTGGAGGAGAAAGTGATCAGAGAATTCAATTCCCCAGCTCCCTGATGGGCGGGGATTCAGCAGCTGCTGTGTCCCTCCACCAAAGACCACTGGAGTGTGGCCTTCTCCTGCAGCTAAAGATCTTGCTAGATTCTAGAAACAGCTCCTTCCTCTGTCGCTTCAGACCTTGGAGGAGTAGCAGCTTCCCCCTATTCTAGCCCTGCCTGGGATGGTTCTTATCCTTTGTTGGATTCCGTTGACCTTGTCCACATCTTTGTAAGTAGTCCTTTATTAAATTCCTTTTCCTATTGGGATCCTGACTGATATGAGCAATACTACAAAAATCAGGAACTCACACATATATGGGATTGTATATGATTCAAGTAACAGTTGACAAATAATAAGTGCATACTAGAATGTTTTGCAGGAATTTTTAAAATCTTGGCAATGTTAGCCAATATCCAAAGGTAGTAGACTTGTTTTTCCAAAAAACATACCTGTACATCAGTCTTCCTCTTTCTCTTGCATTCATTCTTCCCCATTCACCATTTTCAAAAGCATCTTTTGCTGCTGCTACTGCTTTGTCCACATCCACCAAAGAAGCATAGGACACCTTGCATATTGTCTATTTCAAGGTAAGTAAGAATAGGTTATATAAAAGGTATAAATATGGCTCTTGGAATTAATATTATATTAATAGGAGAAATAGAGTATTACTTACACAATACAAAGAAGTTTATGATGAAAAATTATATCCAGTAATATGGTAAAGAAAAAGAAACAATTTTAATATGAAAATTGTGAACCCGAAATGTGGTACTTCTCATGTCATGCTGCATTATAGAAGAACACGTTCAGGAAAACTATATAGTTCTTGTAGTGCCTTAGGGAAGGTGAATTTCTTGCCATGCGTTTTCAAAGTCTGAACATTTTTTTCCACATATAGTTCTATGTGGAGGGGTGCCTCTGATGTGTATAGGTATAGCTATCTGTCTAAATTCATCACAAATACTCGTTCTATAAAAGAGGTTACTATGGCTAACAGCAGCCAGCACCAGAATCGAATAGTCGAGAGAAATGCATGAAGTACGCTGTATGAAGTGTTCGGAGACAGAGTGATGGAATCAAGGAGCTTCTTAAGACTGCCTGTTTTACAGCTGTGCATAAAACAAAACTCCATGACCAGTGATCATTACACACACTAAATAATTACTCACAGATCCATCTGTTGGGTTTATAGTGTCGTAAGTCTTTCCATCATCCGCATCTGTGAACTGTCCATTTATGAAACACTGATACGGCATTTTTACTGTCATTTCATTGACCTCCTTTGAAACCTAAGAGAGAGAATTATATTAATGGAGTCAATGATTTCTGTGTTTACTGATTTGATATCAAACAGCAATAAAGACACGTATTCACTAATGCAGAGGGAGAAATTAAGTCTATGGGATTCTAGTTCCCGCTGAGAGACACACATATGTAAGATTTGGGCCTCAGGATACTCAGCTTGTGATGACACAGGTGCTCAAGGCTGGGCTTTCTCAAGATCTCAGATTTTCTTCCTTACATAGATGAACCGTACCGCAAAAGACCTCCAGATAAAGGAAACACCACCATCTAGTGGCAGCATCGACAGAGTACAGCTATTGCTCTCATTTAAATCCTTGAAAATGTTTCTGTCAATAGGTTTGCTTTTATCCTGGTGCCATTTTAAGTTTTCTTTCCCTAAGTTTCTCCTGATTTTCACTTTCTCTCTGTTATCTATGTGTTGTCTAAATTGTACTTTCTACCACTGGCTAACAAGCAAATTTAGGTTAGTCAATTTTTTTTTTTTTTGAGACAGAGTCTTGCTCTGCTGCCCCTGCTAGAGTGCAGTGGCTGAACCTCAAACTCCTGGGCTCAAGGAATCCTCCTTCCTCAGCCTCCCGAGTAGCTGGGACTACACGCATGTGCCACCATGCCCAACTAATTTTTTTTTTATTTTATTTTTTGTAGAGCCAGGGTCTCTCTCTTGCTCAGGCTGGTCTTGAACTCCTGACCTTAAGTGATCCTCCTGCCTCAGCCTCCTGAGTGCTACGATTACAGGAGTGAGCCACCATGCCTGGCCTGGTTAGTCAATAATTAAATTCAATGTGGCTCCATTTTTTCAATAATTAAATGGGGATAATAAAATGGGGACCTGCTTCATACAGTTATTGTGAGGAATAATTGAAATAATATATGTGAAAGATCATTATTGGCATAAAATTCCATATCAATGCAAGGTGTTAAAAAGGAAATTTAATTATTTTTAAATCATTTCTTATAGAGAAAGTGGTAATGCTTAAAAAAAGAAACAAAAAGTAACAAGAAGGTATCTTGTTTTTCACCATACCAAGTGCTCATGTTCTAAGAGATTTTTCCATTGTGTCTGTGTAGGATATAATGAAGGAAATTTCATGTGAATCCATGTGTTCGCTCTCTGCAAATAGTCCACTTTTCTAAAATCATTGTTCTGGGAATGTACTGTTGATTCTTCCAACAATCCTATGAGGTGGATATTATTATTATGCCATTTGACATATGAGGAAAGTAAGGCTTAGGGAAGTTAAGTCATTTGTCCAAAGTCACACAGCTAGTTAAGCTATGGTACTTGGATTCAAACCTAGGTTGGTCTGACTCCAAAATTCATGTTCTTAACCAGATGATGCTAAACTACTTTCCAGATTTAACTTTTATAGAAACAAGTGGATAAGAAGCACTTCTGGAACAGTGGAGTAAGGACCTTGAAAATCTATGCCATCATAAAGGCAATGAGAACATGAGAAAATATTGTCCAAATCATTTCTCTCAGAACTCTGGAAATTAACAGAGGCTTGGAAGAATCCATTTCAAGAAAAATAGCTGAGTTTCAGTAAGAACAGTGAGCTTTGTATTATACTAACTGCCCTGTTCCCAACTCTTTTGACCACTCTGCAGTAAACTTGAAAATCAACATCTTTGCGACCATGGTGGCTGTGAAAACCAACAGCCTAGAAGCCACCAGAGGGGATGAGATGGGTCTGGAGCTCTCTAAAACTTCATCCCCAGAGAGTTTTATTATTTGGCATGTCTGGCAGCTCCCTGAAAAGCTCCATTCTCAGGGCTTGTCTTCTTTTGTTTGTTTCTTTTAGAGATGGGGTCTTGCTGTGTTGCCCAGCCTGGAGTACAGTAGCTATTTACAGGTATGAACACAGTACACTACAGCCTCAAATTCCTAGGCTCGAGGGATCCTCCTGCCCCGGCCTCCTGAGTAGCTGGGACTATAGGTGTGTGCCACTGAGTCCACCTTGGGCTTGTCTTTATTTGACCTGACTCAGAGCCTGCTCTGCACAAACAGCCCTATCCCTGGGGCATTTGTCAAAAATAATCAGTGGCAATTATTTAATCTTGCAGCTGCCTGAGGCAGTAATACCAACTGGGGCTAACAAATGGCCAACAAAAAAAACATAAAAGGAAAAACTGGGGAATGACATATCCACAGGAGATTTTGAAAAGCTCTGACATATTCCTGGGAATCTGAAGGCGAATACATGTTCAGGGGTTATGCACAGGCCTAGGAAAGACCTCAGAAGGCCCTAATCTCTGACCTCTGGCTGACCTGAGGCCATCAGGGAATGTGAAGGCTAAGGCAGAGTTGTAAACTGCCTGCTGGAGCATTGAAGGTATGTCCCAGCAACACGCATACAGAGCCCCCTTAGCAAAGGCTGGGAGACCTGCTGGCTCGAGGCATTTAAGGAAATCTATGCCCAATCATTAGTGAACCACTAAGCTAACCAAAAAGGGATTTCAGTGGTGGCAAACAATACAGACTTTACAGAATTAGTCAAAGAAAGTCACTGAACAAAAGAAAAGAGACAGCAACAAACCCTGTGAAGGGAGGTGGGGGGAGTCCAATTTCCAGAGTTATCGCATTCTATTATTTAAAATGGCCAGCTTTCAACAAAAGGCAGACAATAGCAAATGTTGGCGAGGGTATGGAGAAGCTGGAACCTTCATACAATGCTGGTGGGATTATAAATGATGCGGCCTCTTTGGAAAACAGCCTGGCAGTTCCTCAAAAAGTTAAACAAAGAGCTACCATGTGACTCATCAATTCTACTCCTGGGATATACTCAAGAAAATTGAAAATGTGTTCATGCAAAAACTTATACATGAATTTTCATAGCATTATTCGTAATAGCCAAAAACTGGAAACAATCCAAATGTTCATCAACTAATGAATCAACTGATGAATGGATAAACAAACTGTGGTATATTCAGACAATAGAATATTATTTGGCCAGAAAAGGGAATAAAGTGATGATATGTGGTACAAATAGATGAATCCTGAGCACATTATGCTAAGTGAAAGAAGCCAGACACAAAAAGCCACATATTATATGATCCCATCTATATGAACTATCCAGAATAGGCAAATCCATAGACACAGAAAGGAGATCAGTAGTTTCCAGAAACTGGGGATTGGGGGTGGGGATACAGGGATTTTTTGGGGTGATGAAAATGTTCCAAACTGGATAGCAGTGATAGTTACATAACTCTATGAATATACTAAAAACCACGAAAATGTGTATTTTAAAGGGTGAATTTTATGGTATCTGATTTATATCTCAATAAAGCTGCCATTTTTTAAAGCTCATAAATGTAAAAACAAATGGATAACAGGTACAGCATTTTTTTTGTAGTATATGATGGATCTTAATGACTTAGAGTTGAAGCATCAAGGAAAAGCTTACATAATCCACTACCAGCTCCGCCTCCTGATCTTCTCCTCTCAGTTTCCTCACGACCTTTTGGATGAAGTCTTCAAACTTGGTGGCCATATAGACATCTTCATTCTGTAACTGAAGCCCACCACATTTCTGTCTGATCTCTTCAACCAGCCTTAAAGTAAGAACCAGCTTCATGTTACTCACATTTTTAAAAGGGCTTGGGGGGACTGTATTACTAGCATTTGTCAAGTTTTTTTTTTAGAGACAATGTCTCACTCTCTCACCCAGGCTGGAGTACAGTGGTGAGATCACAATTCAACCTCAAACTCCTGGGCTTAAGAGATCCTTCTGCCTCAGCCTCCCAAGTAGCTGGGACTACAGGTGTGCACCACTACGCCTGGCTAATTTTTAAATTTTTTGTAGGGATGGGGGTCTTGCTATGTTGCCCACGATGGTCTCTAACTCTTGGCCTCAAGCGATCTTCCCGCCTCAGCCTCCCAAAGTGCTAGGATTACAGGCATGAACCATTGCGTCCCACCCTGTTGTTTTGAAGAGACTTAAGTCATGTCCTATTTATATCCTATGAGATCTTCTGCGACAATCATCAGAAAAGTTGATTAGACTGGGAGCGAGAAAATTAAAAATCTGCCTCGAAGGATGACGGCAATTTTTTGGTTTTTAACTAATGACTAAAAATAAAAGAACTAAAGGCAAAAACATTTTAATTACTTAAAATCAAGATAGTAATATATAAAGTCAGTTCCTTTCTTTTCAAATATACTAAAGGAATAAGAAATAAAGAGTTTCCTAACTGTAAAGATTATGAGAATGAATGTCATATTATAGAATATTTTCTTTAAACTATGCACAAGAATAGACATTTACTTGTATTAAATGGTTAATGTAGATACTAGCTAGAACCATGCAGTATGTCAATGTAATTTTTGAAGTCCTTTCCAGTCCTTTGATTTTCACTGTTAACTTGTCAAATTACAGCTGTTATCTGATATTTCTTGAGTGGCAATGGTGTACAAGGGACAGTACAGAAAGCCCACCACAGTTGTTGTTCAATCATTTTTTACTCTAAAAGAAATGAGGTACTTTGGTAATCAACATAATAAGATCGAATAACTATGGTAAGTCAGACGCTCAAATAGGAAATGAGTAATTCCTGCAGGAGTATATGGCTAGCAAAAAAAAAAAGTATTAATAATACAGTATTGAAATCTTTAGTTAAGCTAATTAGAAGTCTCTGGGAACTTATAAATCATAGCTGAGAAATCTGTAATTTGAGGAACCAAAACTCTTGACTTTAGATAGTACTATATGCTCTTGAAATGATTGCTTTTGATTTTTGGAATAAAAGCTCCATGGAAAAAGGGACTTTGTCTAGTTCACAGACTGTATTCTCAGTGCAAAAACTGTTCCTGATATGTGTAAATGTTTAATAACTTTTATTAAATAAATGAGTGAATAAATGAATAAATAGAATATTCATCAGGAATATGAAGGATTTTGCCAAGGGGAGGAACATTCTTTACCTTGTTTAATTAGTGAATGCCCATAGTGTGGCCTGGGACCAAAATCCCTTAGCCTCTAGTCTCTGCACCCACCATCAAGGGACCACACAGCTCCCTGGTTAGTTTCCAGCTGCCTCAAAGAAAAAACACCTCTGCAAGACTCTCCACCATTAGGATCTTGGTACAGTTTTCTTGCCATAGAGGAGGCTTTCTGCAACTCTAGCCTTTTCAACTTGCTGTCAACCTCTGTGCAGAAATTCTGATTATAGGGTGATTCCCCTTATTCTTGCAAGTAGCCTTATAAGCCTCATTCCAGATCTATCCTAATGGGTAGTTTTGGGGGAGTAGGAGAAAAAAATTGCGGGAGGGGTGTAATCAATGTCAGGAATCCTTCTGGATCAGACTGTACAGGAAATTCCCTATTAGCACTCTCTCCCGGAGCTTCTCAATTCTGATGTTGGTCGTATGGGAGGAAAATCAGCTAAGAAATGTGAGGACAAATTTTAAAGCGAAGCAGACAATTATAAGGCTTGGTTTTCTAGGTGTACAGAAGATATGCAAACAATTTCTGGTTAGCAATAAAGAGAAGTAAACAGATACATATATGTGCTTGACTATGGAAACAACAAAAAAAATGAAGAAAAGAGATGTGTAGTAGCTAGGTACGATAGGGTGACAACATCCAGAACCAAGGATTTGGATTTGATTGTCAAAGACAAAGTCAAAATCCCTAGTGGAGGGATGTGAGTCAATAAGGTGTTGGTTTTACCTGACAACATCCATCGATCTTGCTCCGGATTTAAAGAAGTCGGTTGAGTCTTCAATAACAGGGACATTGCTTAAAATTCCAGCCCAGATGACCTTCACAAAAAGGGAAACATTTATGAGGAAGTGAACTTATTTCCTCTTCACCTGTGTACACAGCTTGACTACATTTCTCAGCCTCTCTCCAGTTAGATGCAGCCAATGAATATGAGTGGAAGTGATCTGTGCCACCCCAGTCCCGGCCCGTGGAAAACCTCCGCTGGACAATTCTCTGTGCTCTTTTGCCCCCCTGGGTTTCTGGAATGGAAATGCCCCACAGAATGAACTTGAAGGTAGAACAGACTGGGTCTCCGAATGGCTTCACCCCTACCCACCCAACCTAGAACTGCCTTGGATTACTTGTGTGGGAAATAAATTTGTACGTACTGTGTTTGAGCATATAAATTTAGGGGTTGGTTTCCTATCGTAGCAATACAAAAAAGAGGAAATAAATTTCCAACCTCACTACCTTGAGCATTGCTAGGACCAGTTACGAACATGCTTCAGTTTTCCAACGTAAGAGTAATATTAAGGTCATCACATGTTCACCTTGATGATCTCTGCCACCTTCACCTCTTCGGCTGTAAGTTCTACCACCAACGTCTCACCCGTTGAAAAGTACTGAGAGGCAGGAATCATTTTTCCATCTTCAAACTGCAGATTTCTCACCATCAGCTACAAAACAGCACCAAAAAATATGTAAACAGTAAAGATTAGGCCAATACAAAAGTAAGGCTGGTGGGAGGAAGAGTCATATATATCCCATGCATGTAAAGGATAAGCTTAAACAATCTTATTTGGAAAGTACAAAAATATGGATTAAAAGCCCTCACCATTATGTGTAAAAGGACTGAAATGGCATTTTAATAATAGCAGCAGAAAGGAGAAAGTTAAGCCTAGAGATAGCTACATCTGAAAATGGATAATAAGCCCTGGAAAAATTGACATTTGGATGTAGGTATTTGGACTAAAACCTACTAGAACAACAACAGACACAACTACGGCTGCTACAACTCTGCTGCTGCGTCATCTGAGCACTTACTGGTGCCACGCTCAGAATGCATGTGTGTACTGAAGTATCTCATGTAATCTCGTAAATCCTAGAGGCAGAGGACATTCTCATTCCCACTTTACTGGTGCAGAAATGAAGGCTCAATGAGGTTAAGAAATTTGCCCAGTGCCACACAGATAGTAAGTAACAGAGCTGGGATAAGAACCCAGGACTAGCTGGACTCTGAAGCCTACAATCTTAATACTAATTTATCCTGCAGCAACTGGAAAATATTAGTATCTGTAAGTTACAAATTCCCTTTTGCCCTCTTCACTGGGGAGCTGCCTGGGAGAGCACTGTGGCCCAGAGCCAACACTCCCAAGCACAGGCAGTGTAGGCGGCGCCTGCCTGGTGGGACAGTGGCAAAGAGCATCTGACGGGGGCCATGTGCCTTTTCCCTTGCCCCTCCCAGACTCTGGCAGTGGGAGGTTCCCGGCGGGATTCCCCTCTCTGGTATTTAGATGGAAGACTGAGACTCAGGGTGGAGAACCATCCTGCCGGAGACCAGTGAGTGGGAGAGCAGGGATTCCCATTCTTGTCCCCTGAATGAATGCCAAGCTCTTTCCGTCGCATCACAAAGCAGACGGTGCAGGTCTGGGGGCTGTCCCAAGGCGCCTTGTCCTCTTCAGCGCGCACAGAGCCAGCTGCTCCCCACAGGGAAGTAGGGGCACAGCTATCCTAGTGCAAAGCCAGATTACCCTGTGAAAGCTATTCCCTTGATAGCGTGGGATATAGAAGGAAGCCAAAAAGCTTATTTCATAGGTGACCATATCGAACACTCACCGCTTTTCCATCATTACCAAAAAGAACAAGTCCGTTTTTGGTAACAAGACCAGGCTTCTTGGCACCTTTAATTTCCAGTGGTTCTCCGGAAGGCACAGAACTGTTCAGTAATGTAGAGCCATAGAAAGTGACCATCTGATAAAGAGATCAAAACCAGCTTGTAAAATCAGGAGTAAAGCTGTTCATAGGGGCGCACGCAAGCATCAATTCCTGCAAAAAAGCTGAAGTGCGGATTATCGTCTGTAATAAAATTGAGATACCACAGTGTGAGAAACTGTATCAAGCTTGTGCAGAAATGACACAAAGCAAGAGATAGTCTGCAGATGTGTGATTGAAGAGTTTCAATGCCCTATATCCAGGCGACCTGAGTGTACGAGGGCTGTATCCAGCCATGTAAACTGTTCTTGTTCTATTAGTAATGGCTGGATATTTCCGGACAGCCCTTGTACATTTATCACATATTCACATTGATACAAAGGTGAGTGACACAAAAGGCTCTCAGCCTTGATAGCCTGAAGGTAGGGTTTGTGGGGGACAGGAAGGCGTTGCAGGTGGGCACCGGTGAGGGGAGATGCAGAGGAATAAACAGACTATTACGTTGCAGTGTGGTAGGTGGTGAGAAGTACAGGGTGCTTTGTGCACCATCAGCCCATGGAACCAGTACCAGATCCAGACTGTAACCAAGAGCAACTGATTTATTATTGTAATTCTCTATGAGCTATCATTTATGGAACACTACGATAGCTTGACATTTATTGAATACTTACTCCATGCCAGGGACTAAGTACTTAAATGAATTAACATGTGTGAACTCATTTAATCTTCACAATAACCCATAACCTATCAGGGAGGTAGTATTATTAGTCCCATTTTACAATGAGGAAACCAAGGCACCCAATGGTTAAGTAACCTGCCCAAGATTACAGCATAAATAGTGGCAGAGCCAGAATTTTAATGGAAACATTCTGGCTTCAGATCCCACACTCTTAACTGGTACACTAAACTTCCTCCCTTGGTCATTCATCGATTCCACGTATTGTCATTGGCACCTAGTATGCACTGGGAATCCTGCTTCACTGCTGCGATTATCAAGACAATAACATGAAGCCCTCGTAAATTATAACTGAGTGTGGGCCTCAGATACAGCATTTCTCTTACTGCCTTGTGAGTGTCTATTCACTGCTCTGCTTCCCCCGTAAAACTGCAGTCTCCTTGCGTGCAGGGGCTGTGCCTGGTGTCTGCTTCACAATGAATGCTCAGTGCATGCTGAATCCCAGACCCTGCTCATGACCCATGGAGGAACCAAGGGAAGCCCAGATTTCTTTGTAATGCCTCTTACAAAGGTAATATGGGGGGAAAGGTGGTCCCTAAAACATACCTGTCCATTTATCTCCGTCCAAGCTCCAGGGACTTTATCATGACCTCGAATCCAGTTATGTAAAACTTCGGCAGACTGATCCCAAGAAATCTAGGAAAGCACAAAGCACAGGCGGACCTTCCTAAGGCTGGAGTCTCAAAGGCAGTAGGAACATTTCTGCCCATTGGTGGCAGAAGTGGGTAGGACTAGCTTGGAGATCTACCTTTTGGCGAGGACATACTACATTGGGAACTATTTAAAGGTAGAGGGCCATGAACTCTGGGATGTGTTACCGAGTTGATATAAATACCTCAGCATTTTCCTTTTTCTGGATACCTTCATATGTTGCTCCTTCTTCTGGCTGAGGAACACGAGGAGCTTTTCCATCAGCTATCAGTTGGACAGCTTCTACCTAAGGCCAAAAATGTCACCTGTGTTACAGCCCAATGATCAACAATGGCATGGTCTGTTTAACTGAAGTTTCTGCTGAACAGAATTACTACCTATAAACCTGTTCAGAGTCAGACTATGATTATAACTACCCTTTCTTCAGGTCCATCTATACACCAAGCAGTATGGCAGCTACTTTATAAAACATCCCTTACAAACATCACACAAATCCCATAAGGTGGATATTACTATTCCTGTTTTACTCATAAGAAAATTGTGGTTTAGAAAAGTTAAGCAGGCTGGGCTCAGTGGCTCACATCTGTAATCCCAGCACTTCGGGAGGCTAAGGTGGGAGGATCAGTCGAGGCCAGGAGTTTGAGACTAGCCTGGGCAACATATCAAGACTCTGTCTCTACCAAAAAATTTAAAAATTAGCTGGGCATGGTGGTGTGTACCTGTAGTCCTAGCTACTGAGAAGGCTGAGGTGGGAAGATCCCTTGAGCCTGGGAGTCTGAGGCTGCAGTGAGCAATGATTGCATCACTGCACTCCAGCCTGGGTGACAGAGTGAGGCCCTGTCTCTAAAAAAAAAAGTTAAGCAACTAGCTCAAGTTCACAGAGAGAGCTTGTAGGTATGATCAGGATCTGCATCCAGGTCTATCTACTGCCAATATCAAATCTGCACTCCCCAGAATTACTCCCTTCTTCGTAAGCAAACTCCAACTTCCACCTTGGTGAGTCAGTGGAAATTATGAATATAATTTATAAAATAAGTCATTATGGGTTAGTTTGCTCATCACAATGGTTCTAGAAAATAATACATTATTGTATTTCATTAATTAAACTTGCTTTTTAGTTTAGGACACCTAGAATCTAAAAAGTTAAAATCGGGCCGGGCACAGTGGCTCACGCCTGCAATCCTAGCACTCTGAGAGGCTGAGGTGGGAGGATCGCTCAAGGTCAGGAGTTCGAGACCAGCCTGAGCAAGAGTGAGACCCCCATCTCTACTAAAAATAGAAAGAAATTAGCTGGATAACTAAAAATATATAGAAAAAATTAGCCGGGCATGGTGGCGCATGCCTGTAATCCCAGCTATTTGGGAGGCTGAGGCAGAAGGAGTGCTTGAGCCCGGGAGTTTGAGGTTGCTGTGAGCTAGGCTAACGCCAGGGCACTCTAGCCCGGGCAACAGAGTGAGACTCTGTCTCAAAAAATAAATAAATAAATAAAAAGTTAAAATCGGGTTTGATTGCCTTCAGGATGTGTCCTGCCATGTTGATGTTTGCCTTGAGTTGAGAGCCTTTCCTCTTCACTGGGAGGCCTGTGTGAGCGCAAGTTCTCAGATTTCTCTGTAACAACTGACAGCTGCTGGCCAACCTACCCAAGAATGCAGAGAAAGAGCCACCAGGGAACAGAGCCAAGTTTACAGCTCATCCCATCCACCTCCGTCTGTAATAACATCAGGTATAGGATCTGGGCTTGAGCAAATGTCACTGAACACACACAGTGCTGTATTGATTGTAATTATCATTTTTGAGCACATAATGTGCTCAAAATGTGTGCCAGACTCGCACAAATAATGGCATTTAATTTTCACAACAACCCTACAAGTCAGGCAGTATTATCCCCATTTTATAGATGAGGCAACCAAAGCTAAAGAGGCTAAGTGACTTGCTTATTGTCATATAAGAAATAAGAGATAGAATGAGAACTTGAACTTAGGTCTTTCTGACACCAAAGCCCTACTCCCTTAATCACTGAATGATAGAAACAAAGGACTGCTCTCCTCCCTCTGAGATTAATGGCTACGACTTTATGTAATCTTGTTACCTCTATGATACCAACTCTAGAAAAAAAAGTAAGTGACGTCAAAATTATCTTGTGAATATTTCAATATTTTTACTTCTTGGTGTACATGCTTTGGGCCAGAGTACATCTGAATAAATAAATGACAGCAAATTTCACCTAGCTACATAGACTAATTTAAAATCCTTTCAAAGGAAGTCCAAATTACATAGCAAAATTTCTTAAAATTCTGTACACTTTTAAACAATTAGTCATTATAAACAGTATTGGAGATTCAAATATTTGGCAAAAGAAATGGATCAGTTTAATTGCTACTTCATCCACTTGATCACTGTTCTCAGAAGAATTAGTCAGATTCACAGACTAAGAAACTGTAAAGTTCATTGTAGATTCTGGTTATTAGCCCTTTATAGGGTGTATAGCTTGCAAATATTTTCTCTCATTCTTTAGGTTGTCTGTTTGGTCTGTTGATTATTTCCTTGTCTGTGCAGACAAGGACAGACATTTATTTATTTATTTATTTTTGTTGTTGTGGGTACAATGAACACTATCTGGGTGATGGACACACTTATAACCCTGACTCAAGCATAACAAAATTGATACATGTAACCAAAAACATTTGTACCCCAGTAATATTTTTAAATAAAAAAATAAAATTAAAAAAAGAAATTGTAAAGTTCAGATTCCCACCCTAAGTATACTATCCCATTGATAAATATAAAACCTAATTTTGTTTCTAAGCTTTACATTTTTAGTGAAAATTCACATGGGTGAATGCTTAATAATAGATAAATATTTCCAAAACTTCAAAGGTTTACTAAATTCTTCTTGATGGCATAAATATACTGACCATGGCCTTGATTCCTTCAGGAAAAAGAAATCGATTATAAAGTGCGTCCACTGTGTCGTTGGGTTCCACATCACATGATCTCTGAAGAAGAATGGGTCCTGTATCTAAACCATCATCAGCCCAGAAAACAGAAAATCCAGCTTTCTTATCTCCCATAATTAGAGTCCTGTGAAAAGAAGAGTTTCAACTTAAGATATTGGGCAACTGTATCATAAAGTGATGAATTAGTAACACTAAAGTGTAAGGTAGTTGAAATGGAAAAGGAGACAATGAATGAAACTATTAATACCATGAGAAATTAACAGTAGAGGTGGGAGATGTCAGAGCTCATAAAAAGCAATACCTAATGGTCCTGCTATTTTATACATCCTCATATCTGCAGTCTTTCTTGTTAACATCTAGTAATGACTTGCAGTGAATTCAAAAAGGCATTAGAGTTCATCATTACTACCACTCACTGACTCCCAGGTGTCAGCTTTCTTCTTCAGGATCAAGTTCTTTGCCCAACTGGGTCCAATTCCTACATCATACTTGAGCCTGCCTTAGGCAGAATATGAACAGAAGATAAAACAGAGGATACTCTCTGCAATGTGAAGAGGAGAACTGATTATTAACTCAGGTTGTATTAATTAATTCAGTTATAAGATTCATTTAGGATTAGAATTAGCTCTAGATTGTCTACATAAATTACAGGAAAAGATAGTTGATTAATTCAACCATTTGTATTTTATGCTCTATAAAGTTTAGCCGAAAAGAAAATGCTGGCCCTACAGGAGCGTATAATACAAACAATAAGAAAGCTCGGTGAACAAATACATATAAAAGCATGTCAGAGAGTAGGCTAATACAAAGACAGTATGAAGTGGTAGGTCAGCCATGCCCATGATCTAAATCATTTTTACTTCTGAGCTAATCAAGCAAGACCTAAATCAATCAATCAATCAGTCACTCTTCAGAAATACTGAGGAATTAACTGGCATTATGTTATCAAGAGCCTGGAGAATATTGATACGTTTTGGCCCAATGATTCTGCATGCGGATGCAATGTCAAGTGAGAAAAAAATACAAGTTTAAGTGCAAAGATATCTACTAAATAATAAAGTGTTATTTATAAGAGCCCAAAAGGAATCAATTCATGTAATCAAACTTTAAATACAGTGAATATTTTGCATCACATTTAAACCAAGTGTAGACGTTCTGCTTGTTCAACAACCTGACTCTGGGGGATAACAGGAAGATGTTGCAGGTAAAGGAGAGAAGGCAGGAAAGGTGGGAAAGGCCCACCCCAACCCTTAGCATAGTGTACCTATGGCACTTGATACCTACAGTGTCCCAGGCACTGCTCTTGATACTGGGAAACAGCAATAAAAATGTTAGACAAAGTCCTTCCCCCAAGACGCTTAAAGTCGAATGGGGGAAGATGGACAACGAAGGTGATAATCTCAGGTAACTAAGCATTTCCTGAAGTATACTTGAGATGCTCTGCGCAAAAAAGTTCTGTGGCGTCTTGCGCCTGACATGGAGCAGGGGTCCCCTTTTCGCAGTTCTATCCCGAGGAGGGCCCAGGTCTCTCTGGCGCAGCCTCTTTCATTCTGTGACTTGCAGGTGCTGAGAGATCCATAGGGAGGACACCGGGATACCCTGGAAAGCTGGGAAATGGTGAGTGTGCGGGTTGGTGTCCCCAGAGGTGGGGAGAGGGCTGTTTGGAGCCGGCCAGAAGCGGCTGTGGCAGACCTGGGCCTCCCCACTTCCGGCTCTGGAGTCTTGAGACTGAAGTTCCCCACTGGCACACCTGGGCCCTCAGTCCCCTCCAGCCAGAGGGTGGGGCTGAGCGGGCAGCTCAGACCCTGAGCGTCCCGTCCTGTCCCTGCGCGTTTACTGCGCGCAGCCTGGAGCCCTCTCCGGTGCAGCTCTGCGCAGATGTCCCCACGTCTCCCCTAGATTGTGCGGGAAGGGAAGGATGGGAGGGTCACCAGGGGAGGATCCCGACTCGGTGTGCGGTGTGCGGGGTTCATGTGGGCGCGGGTTGGGGTGGGGATGTGTGTGTGTGGTCAAATAAATTTGGGAACATTGTATTCTCAGATTCCCTCTAGGGGATTATGGTGCTCACATTAAAGCACATATTAAAAGCTCAAAGAAGTCCTGTAATTAAAAAAAAAAAAAAAATCCAGCGTAAACCAAACTTATTTGACCATAGAACCTTTGTTTGCACAACACCTAGTTACAGTCATGGAACTAGTACTCCATAAACTATTCTTGGGAAATGCTGCCCTGGTTCATGAAGTATGTCTAGACCTCAGGGGAGCTCATGCAAATTGTAGCAGTCAGTCAGGACCTCACAATTGTTCAAGCATACATAGTTTCTTAATCGCCTATGTAAAAAACAGCACAACTATGGGCAATGGAAATAGACCCACCCTCTCTGCTATTAAAAAATCTCACCAGTTGATAGCAGAGGCTCCTCTGTGCCTGGGCAGAATGGATGGGTGGTAGATGATGGAGCCGTGCTTTGGGCCATCGATTACATCCATGGGGATGAACTGTGTGCAGAAGGGGAGCACGTTTAGCTCGGCACCCACAGATCTGTAGGCCTCTGCCACCTCCTTGATGGTCTTGCCCTTGACTCTCCATCTAGGGAACTTGAACACAGGGGTCCCATCTTTCTCTGCAGCCAAAGCTGAGCATGAAAAAGAAGATCATTTCCATTTTTAAAAGAGTTAGCCATAATTTTATATCACTATGGATTCATACATTATAATTTTATAGTTTCCTGAAACATTTACAAATGAAATATAGTGAAGAACAATTTAGATTATGACCAGAATTTGACCTATTATAATTGTATCATGCTCTATTTTTCTAAGGTGGTATTTATCTACCTATATATTAAGGAATAATAACTTTGAACTGAGAAGCTTGTGGCTAGATAATATTTTGAGATTTTAACAGAAATTTTTCTTTTTTAGATTAAAAGAAAAAGGTACCTTTATCGCTACAACATTTTAAAGAACGTAGCTTTAGATTTGGAGCCAAATGCCATGACTTCACCCACCAATTTAACATGTTCACTCTGGCACAGTTGGAAAACCTTGTGTCTCTCCCCTCCCTGCAAAGAACCAACTGTAGACCAGAACACATTCTCCCTGCCAAACAGGCAGAGCCCCAAAGAAGAAGGGCGAAAGTTGCTCAGCTGAGATTTTCTATGTCCTTCTCCCAAATTCAACAAACAGTTAAGTTAGTGGAGGAGAGAGGCCCAGAATAGAGAAGGCACACTCAGCTCCACCTAAGGGTTCTGCCATGCTGGGCCAGATCCAGGTCTCCTTCCTGAGGAATGCACTGTCCCTTCCCAAACAAATGACTCCATTCCAACTCCACGCAAAAACGGCATGGCCCTCCAAAGCGCAAACAGCACAAG